ATAATAGATAATACCAAAGCAATCAACTATCTCTTACCAAGACTTCCACCTGAAGCCGGCTTAGGTGTGAACGTGAACGAAGCAGTGGGTTCCGGCTCGGTTTTGGGTTTGAAAGAAAACGTTACTGCATTTGCTGTTGTGTTAGTCGCCTGAGCTAAAACAAATTCATTCACGATTCAAATCACAACAGCAATGACTAGAACAAACTGCACTTCATGAAGAACAAGACAATTGGTTTTCACAGTACCCGATGGACTTTCCATTTTTTTTAAAACCCTACTGGTCATATTGGAAAAAAAAAAACAAAGAAAAACAACTCATCACAGTACAGCAATTAAGAGATAATTTTTCGAAGCATCATACCTGTGTTAGGGTTTTTAGCACCAAAAATGCTCCCAAATGCGCTGGATTGTGAAGGAGAGGTTTTCGGTCCACCGAATATGCTCGATGTCGTGGTTGTAGAAGTTGCTGTTGTGACAGGAGTCGAAGACACTGAGGGAGTGCCAAATATACTTTTGGTAGTTGTAGATGGAGTCGAACTAATTGATGAACTGCCAAATATACTCGTAGTTGTTGTAGCCGGAATCGACGAAGTGACAGGGGAAGTCCCGAATATACTCGTAGTTGTAGTCACAGCAGGAGTCGTTGAAATGACTGATGCTGCGGCAAATATGCTTGAGGAAGTGGTGGTAGCACTTGAAGTGGTCGAAACCAACGAAGATTTCCCGAAAATGCTTGACGATGTGGTCGTTACGCTCGTAGAGGTTGTTGTTGGGACACCAGACGAAATCAGCAAAGCTTCTGAAACGGGTGCCTCACCAAGTTGAGATGATAAACATTAACAGGTAATAGGCTATCTTCAGTCTACTCACCAGTACCCGCTTTGAGCGCAGACTCCTTTGGTTCTGCTGATGTTGTGTTAGAGCCTTCTAAAAAATACATCCCAGAGAAACATTCAGCTCTGAAAAAAGGACTCACCCTTTGGCTCTTCTTTCTTCACAGATTCTCCGAACTTAGCCGACTGCGTAGAAGCAAAGGTTAGAGGTTTTGAAATATTATCACCACCAAAGATTGACTTCGGTGTAGTTTGTTGAGCTAAATATGCACTTACTCGG